CTTCTTTCGTTTGCGTGAACATTTGGGCGGCGTTATGCAAATCTTCCCACATCGTGACGTAGACATGTGGGGGCGTTTAAACGAGGCGTTTTAGGAGGGCGTGGACAAGTCTTAACTTTTATAAAGAATATCTCTTTGGGTTTGAGACTTTAGTCTTTGCAACTTTAGGGATCTTATCTATTCACGAACAGCTTGCAACACTCCAAAGAGAAAAGAAAACTTGAAATCGCATCATATGACCCCTTAAAAACGAAAGAACTCATTTTTGCTTTTTATTCAATTAATCAGTAAAATAATCACTAGATTAATTGATTACTGAAATTAGTTGCAGCCCTACTGTCCTGAAGTTGTGAAGAAAGTTCAAGAAGCTTACATAGACTCGTCATCCCTGTAATGGACAACAGCCCTTTTCTCTCCGTCACGACCCTCCTCCTGGAACTTAAAGTACTTCTCAAAGACGGAAGCGAAGCAGTTTCTCTTGAGGATGCCTGCCTGGTGGATCAACTCCTCTTTGTGGGGTGGAAGAGCCTCCAGGTCAAAGAGCAGTGAAATATTGTACCCTTCAGAGAGGAACAACAACAAACCGTCAAACCAAAATTCTTGCAGTAAGAATAACAATGAAAACAGCAACCGCTTGGCTTACCGTCTTCTGGTGCCACAAGGAAATTTCCATAAACACGCTTCAGCAACTGAAACACAACAAATACAAATATCTTTCATTTTGTTTTAATAATAAAAGATACTGGAAGTATATTTCGTTATGATCCATAATGAATTATTTGCTTTGCAAGTAGTCGCACATCGAGAAAAAGAGAAATCCTGTACAGAAAAAAAACCATCAAGATGCATTGATAATCATCTTATTATCACATTGCAGTCCTCTGAATCATAAGTGAATCGAATTGTAAGGTGCCTACCATTCCCACCCTAAGAGTATATAGCATGTCACATTACATGACACATTAACTTCCAAACAACTACTTCATGTCAACTATCCATGGATAAAACGACGAGCACTGGCTTGTTTCATTCCTGGCATTTTTAACATGCTTTGAGCGACCTGTATTTTGTGTTTTGTCACCTATTTTAGCCCGAATGTCTTAGAATAGAAACAGGATTCAACAAATAAAACAGCTCCCAGAAAAAAAACAAAGGCATTTGAATTCATTTTTGTCTAAAAGAGATTGTATCTGTGTGCATCACACGAGCAGACAGGAAGCTGAGGGCCATTTCTGCAGGATGTTCCCATGATTTGCATTCCTTTAATTTACATTGGCAGTCCTGAATGAGGCTGGAACAGACTTTGAATATTTATTTGCATTGGCAGGGAAAATTGGCATCAACCTCAACTCCATAAACCCTCAAGACCCATGACAATCCTGCCCTAAAAACAATTCATTTATGTTCTCAATGCACGGATTCAAAATCCTGCAGACGCAACTGCATCGATCTTGAACTATGCCTGCAAATAATAATTCAACTGTGTTTGTCAATCAATTCAAAATTTAAAACAACAGCTTATCACTAAATTAACTGAACACTGGCTAAGTTTACTAAACAACGAACCCGTGTTTCTTTATTTAAAACATGTGACTTCCTCTATCCAAAATGAGTCATAGGCACTTGCTGTTTCACATGTCATTTAGACCCTTAAATGGTGATTAAAATGTGATCACCCTGGACTGAATAATGTAAAATCACAAGACAAGAAGAGAATGACCCAAAGAACGTGGGAAATAAAAATTCCTGTCTGCAACTTCACATTGCATAAGTGTCCACAGGAAATCGATCTGTATTTTCGAAACAGACGAGAACTACAATTTATACACTACGAACGTCACAAAAACCAGCTGAAATCGTGCAACCTACAAGTTCAGTTGCTCAGTAACTATGCATCTTCTCTAAATGGACAGCGTAAAGCGGTAAACCTCACAAAAACATGTCCAGATCACACCTCACCCAAAATCAAAAGGAAAATGTTTTAATAATACACTAACTTTTAAAAGTCTGGGGGTCATTTTTTAAAAGAAATGAATACTTTTGTTTAGTAAGGAAGTAGGGCTGAGCAATATATCGAAATTATCAAAATATCGCAAATGTACATATCGCAATATGCATATCGCTACAGCTTGCAATATTTGGGGCCATGAACAAAAGAGAGAAAATCCCTCACTGCTCTTACCTAAATAACATTTGTAGCTTAAATAAGAATCAGTGCATATTGAATTCATAGAGTAAATACTACACAGTGTTTTATTTTTCCTTTTTATTATTCAGTTCCTAAACTCGTATTATAACGATTACACTAATGTTAAAATGACATTTTTATGTAATGCTCAAGTAAAACACTACCGTTCACTTTCAGAAGTTGTTGTAGGGGTGCTTTCTTATTAGAATCAGAATCAGAATTAGCTTTATTCACCACTTAAGTGTGCGCAAACACAAGGAATTTGTTGTGGTTTTACAGGAGCTCTTGATACATACATACATACAAATAAC